TCATGGCCAATACTACCTTTGGGTAGCAATTGATTTCTTTGTTCAAATCTATTACACGATTAAAACTGATCTAGAAAAACTGAGCGACCACATTAAACTCTGTAAAATGTAAAGTTGGTCGTAGTGCCATGCACTTGATGCCTCATCTGCGGTTGTTCTGGGTGCACATTAATACTGAATTAGAAGCGCGTTAACTGCATCACTTCATTGGCGCCGGCGCAACCATAGGTTAAAGAGATTAAAATACGGGTACGCAAGTTAACAGGTTTGAGAATGGCGCGGCCGGCCGATTCGACGAAGGAGGCTTGCGGCAACCACATGTGACGACCCCGGGCTGGACTCCGCTTCGTCCATGGTGAAAGCCGATCCGGTGATCCACAGCGCAAAGTTGTTGTATTTTCTCAGCAACCAGCACGGATCAGCTCCAGGCATGATGAAGCAGATATCGTCCTACAAACTACAACACACACAGCGTCTTCACGACATGGCGGCGGCAACAACAATACTACAGCGAGAATAAAAGTTACGCCTTCTTTCTTTTCGTGAACATTTGGGCGGCATTATGCAAATCTTCCCAGATAGTGATGTATGTATGTGGGGGCGTGTTAGAATGAGCCGTTTTCGGTAGGTGTGGCTGACTCTTAACTTTTATAAAGAATATCTCTTTGGATTTGAGACTTTAGTCTTTGCAACCTTACAGATCTTCTTTATGCACCAAGAGCTTGTAACACTCCAAAGAGAAAGGAAAAATTGAAATCGGATCATATGACCCCTTTAAGGTTTCTTGGCTGTCGTTTGGCAACTCAAAATTTCAGCTGCCTCCACAGATTTTCTATAGGATTGAGGTCTGAAGACTGGCTAGGCCACTCCATGACCTTAATGTGCTTCTTCGTGAGCCACTCCTTTGTTGCCTTGGCGGTATGTTTCGGGTCACTGTCATGCTGGAAGACCCATCCATGACCCATCTTCAGTGTTCTGGCTGAGGGAAGGAGGTTCTCGTCCAAGATTTTACAGTACATGGCCCCGTCTATTTGCCCCTCAATGCGGTGAAGTCGTCCTGTACCCTTAGCAGAAAAACAGCCCCAAAGCATAATGTTTCCACCTCCGTGCTTGACTGTAGGGATGGTGTTCTTGGGATCATAGTCAGCATTTCTCTCCCTCCAAACACGGCGAGTCGAGTTAATGCCAAAGAGCTAAATTTTGGTCTCATCTGACCACAGCACTTTCTCCCAAGCCTTCTCTGAATCATTTAGATGTTCTTTGGCAAACTTTAAATGGGCCTGTACATGTGCCTTCTTGAGCAGGGGTACCTTGCGGGCGCTGCAGGGTTTCAGTCCATTGTGGCGTAATGTGTTACCAATGGTTTGCTTGGTGACTGTGGTCCCAGCTGCCTTAAGATCATTAACAAGCTCATCCCGTGTAGTTCGGGGCGGATCCCTCACCTTTCTCATGATCATCCTTACCCCATGAGGCAAGATTTTGCACGGAGCTCCAGACCAAGGCTGATTGATGGTTATTTTGTATTTCTTACATTTCTGAATAATCGCACCAACAGTTGTCTTCTCACCAAGCTTCTTGCTGATGATCTTGTAGCCCATTCAAGCCTTGTGCAGATCTACAATCTTGTCTCTGACATCCTTTGACAGCTCTTTGGTCTTAGCCATGGTGGTGGGAGAGGTTGGAATGGAAGAAACAGATTGTGCGGACAGGTGTCTTATACACCTAACGAGCTGACATTAGGAGTAACTTCTTAAAGTGACAAGACTAATCTCTGTTCCACATGGGCACATAACCAATCTGTGGGAGCCAGAATTCTTGCTGGTTGGTAGGGGATCAAATACTTATTTCACTCACTGAAATGCAAATTAATTTCTAACCTTTATATAATGTGTTTTTTCTGGATTTTGTGGTTGATATTCTGTCTCTTTCCGTTAAAATAAACCTACCATAAAAATGACAGACGCTTCATTTCTTTGTAAGTGGGCAAACTTACAAAGTCAGCAGGGGATCAAATAAATATTTTCCCCGCTGTATGTGCTGTTAAAAATCTTATATCAATTAAATAAAATGCATTGTTACTACTGTAAACCCCCATGTAGCCTATTTTATTTGAAGCAGTGCAGGAACTAGTACTAGTGCAAGTAGATGGAAAGGGTGAAGGCAAAAGTCACAGACTGTGGGACAGGCATTCTACATGCTAGTGGAGGTTCATTGTCAAGACATGCCGGACGCAACACAGGAAGATGTACCAGCCAGATGTACCAGCCAATACTGACATGACATTTTTTAGCATTTGCATGTCAAAGTAAAAAATTAGATTAGATGACTTTCATACTTGCCTCCCTCAGCTAGCAATACCAAAAAATAAAAATAGGAAAAACAAATCACAAAACCGACCAAACCACACAATAAATAACACCAACATGCAATCACATCAGTTGATAACCACACAATGAAGCTTGCATCTCAAAGCAAACGTACCACACATTCTCAGAGCATATTTTAGAGCAAAAAGCAAGCAATGAGAGGAAGAGGAAATTATATAGTGACTCCGAGATGTGCTGTTGGCATGAACAATTACCTTACATGTGTTTGGGGAAAAATAAAACACACACCTTGATGATGAAATGATTCTAACACAGATAATAGAACATCTCTCTTAAAGAAGACACAACCCACCCCATTGTTTACGCCTTGAGCAGTTCGGCCAGATCGGAATCTTTCATATCTAAAAAAATTAAAAGCATGAAAAATAAGAAATCAGAATAAATACAACTTATTAAAACCTTACTCTCACTTAAAACAGCTTTTTTTTTATTAAGCATTAAAGGGATAGTTCACCTCAAAATGAAAATTCTGTCATCATTTACTCACCCTCATGACGTCCCAAACCCATTTAGATGCAATATTGGAAATATTTGTGTTTTAAAAAGCATTAAGGCGAACCAATGGATATTACACAATCAACATGCAAACTTTGCGCAAGAGTTATGCCGGTGAATGTCCTGACCTCCGTCAATTCACTATACAGAAAGTGAAAGCAAAAAACTGACTGAGCTTTCTAACACTGCATTAATGGCATATATTCTCTCAGAGACGACGAGAAACAAATCTACTTCATATGCTGATAACGGTATATAACCATCTTAAATTTCCCTTAATATTTCTCTTGTGGTCTGTATAGTGAAAAACATGAGAAGAAACGTATGCCGCTTTAAACAGGTTGTTTTTAAAATCGGTGCATGAAATAAAGCTGCTCTTAATTTTCACTGATGACTGCAGCGTTAATAATTTTAATAATAGGCCTATAATTCATTGTAACAATTAATAGACCTGTTTTAAAAACATTTTCAATGAGGAGTAAGTTAATAGCCTAATCTTTTATTATCCTTACAGCATGTCATGCAGTGATGTGCTATGAAATTATTGCGGGGCAAATTATTTGACATTTAATAATAAAAGTAACCTAATAATAATAATAATAGGCCTAATAAGAAGAACATAACAGCCTACATTAATTGTAAATGCTAAATCCTCTTAATATTGTCAATATTTGATGCTTTTGACAATATCTCTGGCTATTGTCGATATGTGATACAACGCAACTCAGCATGGGGAGGTTATCGCGGGGCCCCCCCACAGTGTGTGCCCTGCATGCCCATCCGCTACGCCACTGTGTGCGACATGTGCTAGAAAAAATCTCATTGGTTCTCGTGAGCTTCCGATTACCATATGTAATGTGCACTACGTACGTGTGTTGATCATTGTTTAGATGTTAACAAAAGCCTAAATGAAAACTTTTCACACAAGACTTGGATTAAACTGCACTATTCATATGGATTCCGTTTAAAATGCCTTCATAACCTTTAGTGGTCGACCGATATATCGCCATGGCTGATATTTGGCATTTTTTCAATATCGGCATATAGGGCTGTGCGATATGACGATATACAGTATATCGGATGGACGAAATAAAAAGTCTTTCTTTTCATATTATGCTCTATCGTTTATTTCGTGGTGTTGCAAAATACATTGTTTACAGTAATACTTTTTCATCATTTGGATGACTGCAGTCTTTACACACCACTACGGGGCGTGAAGGGGAGACAGAACCAAGTGGAGAACGACCAGCCAGGACAAAACGAGGAGCTTGTTCCTAAACGAGGGATTACATCTGTAGCATGGTCATGCGTCTTAAGCACTGCAGTTTTAAAACAACCGATTTTAAGCCATCGAAACACAAACAACAGAGCTATATGCGTGCGCCGTCTCCGTTTCTGTGTGAGGAGTGCACTTTTTTTTTGCTGTTTTATTGGCTTTGAACGATTACATAAACACACTTATATGTGTCAGAATCCCCGTCTTATCCATATTGGATCCGGACTTTGGTCTTAAAGGAGAACCTGTCCAATATTTGTCCTGTCTGCCAATCATATTAATCAAACAATAGTGAGAGAAAATCTCTCACTGCTCTTGACTACATCACTTTTGTAACTTTAATAAGAAAAAAAAAAATAATAATAATCATAATATATATATGTATATAATCTATACTTAATACATGTGTTAATTCTATCTATATCTATCTATCAATCTATAGATAGCTAAACTCTTAATTACTTCAGTTAGCTTTTAGGAAATATACACATTTAAAGTGACTGTCAAAAAAATGGGAAATTTGGAGTAATTGTATAGTTGGTGCTGTATTCCTGGATTTTAAGAAAGCTTTTGAAACTGTAAATCATGAGATTTTACTTTCTCGGTTATTAAATTGTAATTTTTCAACTGAAGCTGTTATGTGGTTTAAATCTTATTTAGAAAATAGAACACAAGGTTACAGGTTATAAATGCGACATCAGATTACTTGGATTATAATATTGGCGTTCCACAAGGTTCTATTTTGGGCCCATTATTGTTTAGTATGTATGTAAAGGATTTACCAAATGTATGTCCTCCAGATGTAATTTGTCAAATGTATGCAGATGATGTTGTGTTTTATGTACATGCAAAAAGTCAGCTACAACAGGCTGCACAAAAATTTACTGAAACTATGAATCAAGTTGCACAATGGCTTAATGTCTTAATCTTAATGTCAGAAAAACTGTTTGTATGTTTTTTACTAAAAGGCCAGCTTATGATGTGAAAGCAGATGTATTTGTCCACGAACAGGCGAATTTCAGATTTATCAAAAAATTTTGACCAATGATGCAGCAGTTTTATTCATGAATTCAATTATTATTCCTCATATTACATATTGCATGACTACCTGGACTCAAACATGTAGGTCTTTTCTTAAACCAGTTGAAATTATTTATAAACAAACTCTTAAGGTCTTGGATAAAAAACCAAACAGTTTTCACCATTGTAGCATATTAACTAAGTTTTCTATTTTAAGTTGGGAACATTTGAATCAATTTGCTGATTTGGTACTTATTTTTAAAATCTTAAATGGTTTTGCTCCACATGTTTTTAAGGATTACATCGATCAGATAACAGGACGGTGTACACGTCTGTATTAGAGGTGATTGTAACGTGCCATTAAGAAAAACTACCTTTGGTCAATTATCTTTTGCTTTTAGAGGAACACATGAGTGGAATAGACTCCCAGTAGAGTTGAAAGAATTAAAACAGTTAACAGGAAAATATGGTTATTGACCCATCAAAATTGTGACTATGTTTCCATTGTCTTAGTTTATTTTTTCTTCTGCTTTACTATTTTCTCCTTGTTCTTAATTTGGTGTATTAATATTCTTTGTTTATATTTTCTCCCTGTCCTAAACATCAACCTGCCAAAAGGGACTACGGATGAAAATTAACAAGTGTTGGCTAAATCTGGCGCATTTTACATATTTATGTATTATTAATGTGCATTGTCCCTGATTAAATAAAAAATTTAAATAAATAACGTAATCGCCCGTCAATACAAATGTGTTAAGGCAAAATTAGTAGAAACAGCGCCATTCAACTCCATCGCACGTATTGATCGGCGCATCTGAGACATATTAGGATGCCATGTAGCCAGGCAAGCTCACAGAAAAGTGAGCATAGTCTCATTTTAAAGATAAACTAATCTAAGAGCTAATATAAAGTTTGTGACCACCTTTAGCACACGGAAGTAGTAATCGGAGCAGGAATGTGACGTAAACGTTTGTTTGTTTACAGAAGTAATTTCCATCGTTGTGATGCTTTTGATCATTATTCTCTGTAATGCGTTAGATCAATTAAATAAACTACATAATCACATTTTAGGGAATGAGAGCTTTCATTTGATATATGACTCATCTATGTGTGGTAAGTTTGTGTGATATGAATATTATTACGTCGATCTTCATTGGGGGGGGAGGGGGGGGCGAATTCAGACCTTATCTTACCTTACTTTATGTAACATAAATGCTAAATTAATGCATGTATTCCGAAAGTTTAGATTATATGCTTTCAAAAGATACTATAGATGCTCCAACACTTGTAATATTTTTTTTAAAAAACACGATGACGCAATTCCTATACCGGTACCGGGATTACGACCTTAAGGGGTACCAAAAAAAAAATTTATATTTTGATATAAGATTTTGGTCATATCACCCACCCCTACCAGCATCGGCCGATTAAGTTTTCCTGTTTGGCTGATGCGTTCGAGACGGGACATTTATTTTGATGGCACTGAGAACGGCAGCGCCTGAGCACCATAGACTGTATAAAAACATGGACGTAGTGTCCGTGACGTCACCCGTAGGGATCCGAAGAGAGTTTCTGAAGCTCAAAAGTGGGCGGAGGCGGCCGTCGCCATCTTGGCAGTGCGTCACAGCACGTCACTCCCGGATAATCGAAGATGGGCAAAGAGGCAAGAGCTGGTTGTTGAAACCACGCCCACCTAGCTTGATGGTGGTGACAGTAGCGGCAATCCACCTGTCACTCAAGTGGCCTTTTTTTCTGCTGTAAAGTTGGCCATTTTAACATGGGGTGTCTATGGGATTGACTCCCTTTTGCAGCCAGCCTCTACCGGCCAGTTGACGAATTACAGTTTAAGTCACTTCCTTGTTGGCTTCACGAGAGAGAGCGGGAGGTTGCCGCTTGCTGAGCACACTCAGTGCTCACATTGGGATAATAGAATGTTTAAACAAAGGAATTAAAATGCCAATACAAAAAGTATTATAATGATTGCTTTTACATTATTAGTAATAGAAAGGCAAACATTATAATACTTTCTCGTTTTATATCATTTAAACAAATCTTTGAATGACTAATGAACATTCAATTTCACAAACCTTGCAAACTTAGTCGGATCCAGTTGTGAGATCTTGTGAAGTGTGCATGTGTATCCTGCATGATCGCGTGTTCTCTGCGTGACGGTCGGTCCGTGTGAATTGAATGCGGACAGGAGGAGATTTCCGCTTTACTCGAGATGCGCGATCGACAAACTTTAAACTCGGGATTTTAAATTATGCTGCGCTTTATGCATTTGCCCAGTGCCATATTCATGTCATTTCCACTGTGTGCTGTATATAAAATGAGTGAATATGATTCCCAGTGCACACAAAATTCCCAGAATACCAAGTGCCCTGTTGGTTACAGTGTTTACTTCCTTTTTAATTATTTTTTTATTAAAAATTAATTTATTTGTGGAAAATACTTTGTCATCTAAAGTATATGTATGTTTATTTTACACATTTATTTTAAAATCCATTTTCAAATTATTTAAATTTTCTTAAATATTAATTAAAATAAATAAAATTATATCGGCTTTATATCAACCACCCTGGTTTCCAAGATATCGGTATATCGGCTGTCAAAAAAACCAATATCGGTCGACCACTAATAACCTTTCAGGACTTCTTGTAAGGTTTCCAATGGAAGGTCAGAAACCTCTCAGGTTTCATTAAAAATTATCTTAAATTGTGTTTCAAAGATTAACATAAGGGTAAGAAAATGTGAAAGAATTTTCATTTTTTTGATGAATATCTCTTTAAAGAAAAGGTAAATTCACTGTTCTTGATCACACCTCTCATATCGTAGAAAGATGTTGTTGAGGTCATCGTTGACATGCAGGAGCTCCTCTGTGACTTCCTCATTGGACACACGTGAGATGAGCTCAACTATCCTCTGCTGCATGGCCCTGCACGTTCTGTTTAACTCCTTTAAACAAAGGAAGCAAACCATGTAACACTGAATAATAAAAACGGTCAACATAATGCTGCACCAACACTCCCTCTAGTGGCCTTCAGTAGCTCTTTCAAGCAAAGTAAACAAAAAAATCTGAATGAGAAACCTGCAGAAGCTCATGATCGGATGGATCCTCTTGACCAGGAACCATCTCGGTCAACATCTCTGACATCACCTTAGTGTTCCCGCGCACAATGTCGAGCTCACTGCGCAGCTTGCAAATCTAATCAATTATATTTTAGTAAATCATTATGCAATCTATGAAAACAAATGTTATCTATCCCATTTAAAAGAATGAAGGAAGGAGTACCTGTTCAGGGGAAGGGTTGATGGGCCCAGAGATGTGCAGATTGGGCATCTGTGGGGAAGTGTGGGTCACAGGGGCAGAGAAAGGAGGAGCGGAGGCAGGGTGAGGCTGTGGCTTGGGCTGGACTGGGGCGTTATATTTCTGCTGGTCCAACTCTGGAGCACTTTGCTGCTATTATCAACAGAGCAAGACAATGAACGAAAGAGCAGAGATAAAGAGGGAAGGTAAAGCGATAAAGTTAAGTAAATGATAAGGGGCATAATATTTTAATGGGAGCTGCCATAACCTGTGTGATAAACAAATTATAACATATCTGACGTCAACACCTACCCGTTGTGGTGTGTGAATGGGGGACAAGGTCTCCAAGTCAGATCGAGGAAACTCTATACCCTTCCTCTTCATTTCTTCGTAGACGTGGACTACTCCAGTCAAATCTGGACTACTTCTGAAGGCATCTGCCCATGCCTGATTTATAGAGTACATGTAAACTTCATGTATGCTTTGAAATCTTGTAATTTAAAATGCATTAGAATAGCTATTAATATAATTGATAACTGCAGTATACTAGATCTTCTCTATTTCAACATTTAAAACTATAAACATTTTTGGGATAGTTCACCCAAAAATTATAAATCTGTCATATTTCTTAACACAAAAGATATTACTTTGAATAATATGGATTAAAAAAATAGTCGCTACTGACTTTCATAGTATGGGGAAAAAAATACAACCCACATAGGCTACCCACATTCTTTAAAATGTGACCCTGGACCACAAAACCAGTCTTAAGTAGCACGGGTATATTTGTAGCAGCAATAGCCAAAAATTTGGATATTAGAGTAGGATTAGGGATGTAACGATTACCGGTTTGACGATAAATCATAATAAAATTCCCCACGGTTAGTATTACCGTTTCATCTTTTAATTATCATTAAAACCGTATTAGATTACCGCGATTTGAACAACTCGTGATAAATACTGTCCAGCATAAAGCACAGTTTTCAGTAACAGTCTCGTGTGCGCACAGCACACGGAGTAGTTTAGTTTTGAGTGAAAACAGGGCGGAAAAGCTGGGAGGTTTTAAAAGAGTGCTAAGGGAATTATACAAATGAATATATGAATTAATTAATTATATGAATGTACCTCTGAAGGTTCTAACTGTCTTCAGAAACGATTCGATGGCATTTTGTTTTCATCTTCGCTCCATGTAATACCTAAAGGAAGTGTTCTTAATCGCAATGCTGCTTTGTCCACAGAGGTTACGGGAAACAGCTCTAATTCTGCTTTTCCATAAGCGCCACCTGCTGTCAGCGAGTGGATTTACAGAGACCTATATTTACATTCAGCCTGTCTGCAATTTCTGTCTGGCCAAA